CTCTAAGATTGCATGCTAAGATCAAATAGGACTTTTATTAGGCTTGTAATGGGGCTAAGGGTGAATGGTTGACAAAGAAGGGGTAAGGAAATCAAACAAAAGAGAGAACTTCACACTTATTCACAATTGAAACTGGAAGAGATATAGCATCAAAGAACTAAGGATCAACTAACAACTAAACACAAAGCAACACTCTAAAGTAGTGGAGGTTGAGAACAATTTTCAAAGCAAACTATCCAACTTTTATTGAACTTCTTCTTTTTCATTTCTTCATCTCTTTTCAACATTTTCATGACCTTATAAACCCATACGTTTTCTCTTATTTTATCAACTCTTAACACAGGTTAAGTCCAATTCATGACAGTGTGCCTTCTTAACAAGTATTTAGTTGAGCATAGGAAAAGGATACTTCTGTGTGGTATATTGGAGCTACCTTAATAGTTGTGTTATAACTATACATTTTCATTTAATAATTGAATTTTACTATGAGGATTTCAAAATTTTACTTCATCAATTATACTCCCTACGTGACAAGTATAGATAGAATATTTTTATTTTGTAGGTCTATAAAAAATTGTTTATATTCAAAATTTGTAAGAGGAAATAAAAATTAAAAGTAAAATTTGAGAGTACAAATAATATTTTCTTTAATGATATCAACTGCCTCAAATTCTCGATTTAAAAATAATGTAGCCCTACAAGAATTAATTTATGGCTCCAGCCCAGTAATATATAGTGGTTTACAGCTAAGAATGTTAATGAATTGTGTATGAATAGTTGTTGGGAAGTTGCATATTGCAATCATCCATTAAACAAAAAAGACAAATTAAGGATGTGTTTGGTTCATGAGTTTAGCTATTAAGAATAAGAATTAAAGTGATTGTTATTGTTTGGTTAACAGATTTCTAGAATATTACTATGAGATTTAATTACCCCGTCGATTAGAAAATTCATTCCTTAATAAAATATAAGAGTTTCATTTCATTATTCTCCATCCTAATTATACCCCTGCATGGTCAAACAGAGTTTAGGGTAATTAACTCACATAAGGACTAAATTGACTAACGTGACAATAATTGAGGGACCAATTCTATCCAAATTGAAAGGGCTCTGTTTGGCAACGCTAAGCTAGGAGCTTATAGCTTATTTTAAGCTACTAATAAGTTATAAGCTCTGTTTGGTAATGTTCCCAAAATAAGCTCTTAGCTTAAAATAAGAGCTTATTTTGGAACGCTACTTTAGGTAGCGTTTCAAAATAAGCTACTAGCTTCCTAACTTTTTTTCCATCTTTACCCCTATTATTTTAAAGTAATGACATATTTTAACCTTATGAATTAAAACCATTTCCCTTCACTATTCCAACTTTCACGTCAATCCCTTCCTTAGTCTTGTTTCCTGCTAAACAATTATGTTAAAACTTTAGCTTCTGCTAAACAATTATGTTGAAACTTTAGCTTATTATTATTATTATTATTATTATTATTATTATTATTATTATTATTATTATTATTATTATTGTTATTGTTATTATTGTTATTGTTATTGTTATTGTTAATGTTATTTTAAAATTAGCAATATGGCTTCAATCTCAAATTGAACAAGAGCCGCCAACTAATGCTCAAGAAGCATTCAATCGTGCATATTCTTCTCTTCGAAATTGTATTGAGAGGTCGTTTGGAGTATTGAATAAGAGATGGAAATACTTGCTAAAATGCCGCAGTTTAGTGAGGAGACCCAAATTGATGTTATTATGGCCACATTTGCACTACATAATTATATTCGAAAGAATTCACAAGATGACATGATGTTTAATATGCTTGAGCAGCATCCAGATTACATACCGCCCGATGAACATCAAGATTCAAGTAGTAATATCTCCATCAACGAAAATTTAAGTCACACCTCTATGGAGGTGAAGGAGATTCGCAACAATATTGCTACTTCATTATGGGATGCTAGATCATGATCATGCTAATAGTTTTATTTTAAAAAGTGTTTACCTTTTTTGGAAGACGAAATGTTAAATTTTAATATGTAAACAAATTAATTTAAATTTTATGAAGATGTCTTTTTTAGTCTTTTTACATTTATCAGCTTATCAAAAAGCTAATTTTACCAAACACTTTCAATCATAACAGCTAGCTTAACAGCTCTTCAATTTTCAGCTCCGAGCTTATAGCTTTTCAGCTTTCAGCTCCTTTTCAGCTATCAGCTCCTAGCTTATAGCTTTTCAGCTATGTTTGCCAAACAGAGCCAAGGAGAACATTACAAATGGGCTACTAATTGAGAGACCAAAAGTGTGATTTTCCCTAATTATTGATGTTTCTTGTTCATCCACTTGCACTGTTATTCACTTATTCAATTTAGTACTCTTATTGAAAAAATAAATTTTATTTTTTATTATATAATTTTAATAATTTAAAAAACTTATTATGTAAAAAAAAAAACTATCAAACTAAACAATATAAATAAATAAATAAATACATAAATAAATAAATATATATATATATATATATATATATATATATATATATATATATATATATATATTATAAAAAATATTAAAGAAAATAAACAAAGAAAGAATAGTTGACTTTACTAATGAATACTAAATACTAAATATAAAAAGTGAAATGTGATTGAGGAAAGATCACAAGATCAAATTACAATAGTATAATACCATCTTGTAATAGAGTTAATAGTACTACCCAAGTTAATTTTTAGGTCAAATCTTATACTCCGTAATATATATAAATAATGGATTACAGGTAAGAATGCAAATGAATGTGTATGGAGATGTCGGTTTGGGCATGTAATTAAAATATTAAAAATATGGGGGGGATTTGGGCATTAGGCCTAGGGTTGTGTAATTAAGAGATTAAGTACGTGGAAGCTCACATGGGGAATCTAGCTAATTAACATGGAGATATGTAATTAAAAAAGAAAATATGTGGAAGGTCACATGGGTTAAGGGATCTAACATGGAGATGTAGTGCGATTCAAATATTAATAATTGATTACAGGTAAGAATGCAAATGAATGTGTTGTGTTAGGGTCACATGGCTTAGGGGATCTAGCTACTTTTGTTTTTCAAAAAAATATATATATATATTATTATTATACTTGTAACTTTTAATCCATAATTTTTTTTAAAAAAATTTAATCCAAATTTATTTCAATCGTTATGATTAATTATTTCTATCTATATGGTGTTTTACTTTCCTGGGATGTAAATGGAAGGAGATCCAACCGCCCAGGTCACCCTATTCTCATGGGTCGTCGTCGGAGGCTTTGGTATATAAACACTCATCATTGTCTTGTTTAGGACACCTAAATCTTATTTAAATATTATATTTTTTTTTGTAATTCTCCTACAAACTATTATCAATACAAGAATTGTCCCTGCAACGAATATTTTGTCTTTTCTCATTTGATTACCGTATTAGTTATCTTTTATTTATCTAGTTTAGTAATTTGAACTACCCGAGTTAATTAAATCCATCAAATGTAAATGGAAGGATGTATGCAGAGGGCATGCAAATCATGATTCAGTGAAGGTATATAAATATCTCCTAATTTGTGTCCACTTCAATATGTAAGTTTGTCAAGACCAAATTAAAGTCACTAATTTTAAGATCACAATTCGGATTGAGCAACAACTTTTTTAAGCTTCAGTTCCAGTCTCTATGATAACAAAATTGTCCCAACATTAGCACTTCAACCTCCCAATTTATAGTACTTTAGACAATCTAAACCACACAATATGCTCAAAGAACAACAATTATAGCATAAGATGCCTCCAAGATATCCCACAAGACATACTGTATTTGGCTATCAATAGTTCATTGCATATGAGGATTGACGGGTAAGTGTGAAATTAGGATTTGTTGCGACTTGAATATGGTTAGAAACTAAAAGTATGCTTGAAAGGTTTCTTATTATATTCATCATGATCCTATTTAGGATCGTAACATAATTATTATACAATAGTGGATTTATCCTAATCATACTCTCTCAGATATATAGTGACTGTAAATTTCTCTTATCACCGGAAATATAAAAATAAAAATTAAATTAAAATAATATAAATGCTATGTACTGACCCTGCTGAAGTTTGAACCTGTAACCTCTTACAAAAATGCAATTGAGTTATACAAGGTACTTGGATGGCCAGAATCAATAATTGTTAGGAAGTCTGCATCGTTCATTAAAAAATGACGACCAAGACTAAACACTAATCAAGAGTTTTTGGCCTATTTTCTGAAAAGTTGCATTTAAAAAAAAAAAAAGTAACAGTGTTCTCTGCATCCTAAACGAGTCTGTCTGCTCTGCAAAAATTGCATCTTCATTTTTACATATACTCCTCTCTCATTTCTTCAACTTTCTCCCCTCTCTGCAAAATCCATCTCAATTACCTCTTCTGCAACATCACTAGCTATGGCGGCTTTTGGTGCGGTAACCATTTTAATGGACACACTCCATCAACACTTCCTCCAACCCACACCCTTTTTCCCTCTTCGCAACAAAACAAAGGTCAGATTACTCTACAAAAATCTTTCTTCTTTGCAAACTTTTCTTGAACAAGATTTCAAAGTGGGGGAGTGTGATGAAACAATCAAAGCTTTGGAAGCACAAGTGAGAGATGTCTCGGTTGAACTAAGGTTCCAAATAGAACACCAATTGAGATTGTTTTACCTGGGGAAATCCATGAAGCTTAGGCTTCACTCTGCTCAAAAGCTTCTTCCCATATTGAATCGAGCAATTAAAGGCGGCTTAGAAACTATGGATTTCAATTCTGTGATGGAGATCCTAGGGAAGCACTTCACGCTGCCCGTATCAGGCATGCCGCCTCATATAAACAAAAGGGTCAAATCCTTTTGCACGCAACATCAACTCTTTCTCTATGGAAAACAATCTTACCATTATGAAAAAGAGACTGAGGATGATGATGATGATGATGATGATGATGATGATGAGGAGGAGCAAGAGGCAGAGAGAAGGAGGAATATGTTGTATGAAGCAGAAAGTGTAATCAGACAAGAACTGAGAGCCTCTTATCTCACCAAATACATGAAACAACGGATACAGGCTACACAAAGGATTCGTCAACTCTTCATCCAAGGAATTAGCCTCACATCTTACATCAACAAAGAGATATTGAAGGTTAAAAATAATGCATACCACCAATCCAACAACTCACAAAACAACAATCCTGCTTCTCTTAGAGGGCTGGAACTTGATAACATTACGGTTGGTGATTCAAAGTCTGCAATCAAAATGGTGGGCTGCGATGATGAGTTCAACACCATAATGGACTACCTGAGCCAGCAATCCTCAAAACGAGAAATTGTCTCAATTGTGGGAATGGGTGGCATCGGTAAAACCACCTTAGCTAGAAAGATTTATGAAGATGCCTCAATCATTTCTTGGTTTGATTGTCGAGCTTGGGTTACCATCTCACAGGACTATAATCCAACACAAGTGTTCCAATGCCTGCTTCATTCTCTTGCCCCCGGGGCCAGTGACAACAATGGTGCTAGCAACTACGAATTGGCTGAGCAAGTATACAGGCTTCTAAAACATCGAAGGTATTTGATCGTAGTAGATGATATTTGGAATACAGATGTCTGGGATGATTTAATGAGATGTTTTCAGGATGACAATATTGGAAGTCGAATATTGTTGACCACTCGGCAAAAAAATGTGGCTGAGTATGCTAATCCAGGTAATAATTGTTGCCATACCTTGCGTTTTTTGGATTCAAATGAAAGTTGGAATCTTTTTCAGAGATCAGTACCTCTACTGTCCCCTGAATTTGAAAAAATTGGTAGAGAGATAGTAGACAAGTGCAAAGGATTACCTCTTGCAATTATTGTGGTTGCTGGACTCCTCTCAAACTCCAACCAAATTATTCATGAATGGGAGCATATTGCAAAATGTGTCCCTGCTTTGAGTTTAGATCATTCTAATCAGCCGGGTGAGAACATCATTGATTTGAGTTACACCTTCTTGCCTCACCACCTTAAACTTTGTTTTTTGTCATTTGGGTTTTTTCCAGAAGATTATGAGGTTGATGAACAAGAGATGGTTGATTTTTGGGTTTCGGCGGGATTTCTAAAGGTTTTGAAGTCCGATGAGAGCTTGGAAGGTGTGGCAAGGAGGAACCTTCAAGATCTTGTGGATAGAAATCTTGTTCTAATTTGTGGAGAAACAAATGAGGGATCGTATCAGATGCATGATGTCTTGCATGAATTGGCTTTGAGAGAAGCCCAAAAAGAAAATCTTTTATATTTCAAGGGGGGTTATGGTAGAAGTTTGAGGTGGAAGAGAAATCAATCAATAAACTCTTCCCATATATCTCAACCATGGAGCATCCAATCAACTACCAACACTTCTTCACTGATTGATAGAATTTCTTTTGGCAGGACTACTTCAAGACAGGTGGGGGTATTTGCACATTTTAAGTTTTTAAGGGCATTGGAAGTATTCAATGTGGAGATAAATGTCCATAATATTTTTTTGGAGATTGTGGGTCTAGTGCATTTGAGATGCTTACATATTATTTGTGGATTAAATATTCAGTATCTACCTTTGTTCATGTTGCGGAATCTACAGGACCTAGTAGTTTTAAATTATTCACCATGTGAACCCCTTGATATTTGGGGATTACCTCAATTAAGGAATCTCCTTGTTGGTGGAATCATTACATTAGTTCCTCCAAGATCGGTTCATCCTAATTTGGAGAGCATTAGAAATTTGGATTATAGGAGTTGTACAAAGGAGTTGTTCCTGAGGATCCCAAATCTAAGGACATTGAGAGTTACTACTAATCATAAAATTGAATGCAAAGCTCCCAATTGGTTTGAAAGTCTTGTCTATTTATATAAAGTGGAAACACTAGTGATTAATGATGTCGTACTTCCTGAGTTTAGAACTATTTATTCTATGGAGATGCTAAGCCTAGAGAATTTTTGGCCAAATCTTAAGGAGTTAATATTCTCTCGTACAAATTTTAAATGGAAGGATATGGATGTTGTTGGTAAGTTGTCTAAGCTTGAGGACCTCAGATTGGATAGATGTGCTGTTAAGAATCCAAAATGGAAACCCAAAGATGGAGGATTTCGTCGATTAAAGTTCTTGAGGATATATCGGAGTTCTCTACGATATTGGGAAGCCACTAGTAATCATTTTCCAGTCCTTGAAAATCTAGTCCTTGGTTTCATAGCTCTGAAAGAAATTCCTAGTGGTTTTGCAGAAATAACTTCTCTCAAATCAATCAAATTACAGGGTTATTGTATAGAGTCACTTATATCATCTGCTAAGCGTATTCAAAACGAGCAGCAAGAGTATGGAAATGACACATTTGTTGTTGATATTTTAAGGTCAGATTTCTATATCTACCTTTGCTTTTCAGAAAACAAAAACAAAAATAAAATTAAGATTCTATTTTTGATTCCTTAATTTTCATCATTTTAATCCAAATTTATATCAATTTCAGCTATTAATTTCTAAACCATTAATTTTTTCTTTTCAAAAGGTTGAATCTCAACCCTAAGGGCCCCCAACACCCCGGCCCGACAAAGCTTACTCTTTCCAAAAGGTTGAACCCCAACTGAACATGTACCATAGAGGCCCCCTTGCTTTGAGAAGTTGCTCTCACACTGTCGCTGCTGAGACTCAATCTCTGTCATTCTTTTCAACTTTCACCTCTATGACCAATTGAGCTGCCCATGCAGGCACTAACTTCTAAACCATATTCAAATGGTATGTTGCCCAGAGGTTTTACCAATGTATCAAACTGTAAGTGTATTCACAATATAATGATACAAGAGTACAGATAGACTATACACATTACACATATACTGATATACAATACCCTTTATACTTTCATAATGAGTAAGTTTTCTCTTTTTTTTTTTTTTTTTTTTTTTTTTTTTTTTTTTTTTTTCAGGCCCGCGGGTTATTTAAGGTGAGAGTAGGGTGTGCACGGGACATGCGGGTGGGGCTTCTTGGAGTGCATGCTTTGAAAGCTAGGGTTTGAGGAGGATTGGGTGAGGTTGATTACAGTATGTATCTCAGCGATAAAATATAATATGCTAGTAAATGGTGTTGTGACAGGGCAAGTTACTCCTACGAGGGGACCCATTGCCACTGTATTTTTTCATAATAAGTGTGGAGGGTCTTTCACTTCTGTTTAAGGAAGCGAAGAGGGACGGGCACATCCATAGGGTGAGGGTCGCGCGTGGGGCTCCTCCGGTGTTGGATGAGTGTCAATTGTACACATTTTTGTGCTTAATTTGCACCATTTATTGCATTGCATAAGGCTTATTAGTATTATTTATCTTCTTTCAGGTGTTTTTATCTTCTATGGCAAGGGAAGTGAAGAAAATGGAGATTTTTGGATGATTTGCAGCACTAATTAAGGAGCCCTTTTTGAGATGATGGAGAGCATCATTGGATAATCAAGAAGAAGGAGCAGAAGGGTCGCGTTCAAGTGAGCCAAGACAAGTGATGTCTCTATCTGATGATGTCACATGGGCGTCGACATACCCGTGTAGGGGCCGTTCTTATTGGAATTGGAAGCAGAGAGCTTAATCGATAGAAGAAGATGAATTGTATTTCATTGATCTCATCAGGTGAGCAACAGAATTGAAGAAGATAACCAACAGAATGACAGCTAATGTTTATATACAAGGTGATGGGGGAAAAGCGGTTATAACCGTCAAAGGAAACGTAATTACATTGCTGCCCTTTCTTCCTATTGTTAGCTCCATGCGTGCTTCTGATATCAGCCAGATTAGCAGGTGGTGTGTTGCTCTCCATTAGTTCTTGGGCACATACATCGCACGGTTGCGAGAAAGTCCGTATGTACACGGGCGCCCACATGCTCGTGTCCTTGCCCGTGCAACGGCCCCAATCTTGCGTATTAAGCTGTCTTTTATTTTGTTCAGATCTAGATTTGGAGGGGGAGATCAGAGAACTTTTTCGTAATTTTCAATGAAGATCATATGAGATAGATGCAACCAAAACACCACACATCTACACACCACTGTAATCTGAAGACTTCAATACAAACTCAGCCGTGAGGTAGGTACAATCTAGTATCAACATCTTACATTCTGTCCTATTTATTTTACTGGTTGAAGCTTCGTAATTGTCATTCATTTTGTATGTTCAATAAATCCTTCAACTGGTGCATCTTGTTCATATAATTCTTTTTCTGATTCTCTCCATCCATTAACTTCTATAAGCTCTTCTTCTACAACATCACTGCCAAAGGCTTTTGCTGCTGCATCAAATTAAAGCTCTCATCTAATCTCCAATTTGGGTTCGATCTATAAATTTTGCTTTTTCTTAAGATCAGATTATTTTACACTTGCACATTATATATGTTTTTTATTTTTCCTTTTTGGTTGATATACTAATTACATTAACACATATAATTCATTTGTATATACAAAATATATATTTATAGAGTCACATTTGTGTGAGACCATTTCATAGATCTTAATTCATGAGATGAGTCGATTCTATGATAGTTGATTGTTACTTATGATAGAAAATATAATACTTATCGCATAAAATTTAATGCTAATTTGAAATAAATAAATTGTTATATTAAAACTATTTATACATGCCAATGACCTCTTACCCTAATAGTTAAAGAGATTGAGATCCAACATCAAGAGGTTAATGCCGAATACAAAATATAATACTTATTGCATAAATTGGTCATATTTTCTTGAACATATTTAGTCTTCATGCTGATGAATTTTTTTTTTTTTCTTTAAAAGCATAAAATTTTAATCAAAGTATAATTAATTTCATTTTACTTTGCTAAATATTGATGGTTTTGATTTGTAGATAACTCAAAGAGAGGTGATGGTTGATCGAGAGCATCATTGGATTATCAATAAGAAGGATCGCATTCTCGAGATACTGGTATAGGAATAACAAGAGAATTGAAGATCTCATAGACTGTCTTGGAACCATTGCACAGAGTGGTACCAAAAAGTTTTTGAATGCTCTAAAGGTACTTGTACAGTTCTGCTTATCAAATAAGTTTATGGTTGTTGAAATATTAGACTAACTTTTATATATGGTGATCTTTTAAGATATCTTTTGTAGCATTACTAAAGCACAACACCCCCTATATGCAGGAAAAATAATTAAGGACCTTGCATCAGATAATTGAGTGATTGGTGAATTTGGTGTTGGATTTTATTCTGCTTTCTTGATTGCCGAAAAGGTGAAGTAGTAATTTCATTCTGTTTGGATGGTTACTATATCAAATTATCAATATTATATTGATTGTTACTATTTTAACTCCATTAAAATTTCCAGGAACACAAAACTGTCTTTCAAGTTTCTTACTAGTTTAGGTATCTGGCAACATTTTCTGGTGATGATGCACATACTATTATTGAATTCGTTAAAATGTCTGACATGTATCAAGTATTAGTGTTTCTTACAGTACTAAAAAAAATTAGAAATTTCTTTACATTGGACTCAGTGGACATGACCAATCTGGCTGTTCATTTGGTCTTCATAATTACAGAGTAGTTTTTATTTTCTTTTTGAGATGAGGTTGGCTTAAGTGTTGACATTCCCTCTTATATATGGTTATGTAATTTTCTATTTGAGATTCCCATATGTATTAACCTATTAGGTTTTTAGTTTAGAAGCATTATTTATTCCATTCTGTCATGGATTCTAAATGATTGTGAGTTGTTTTACATGGCAGTGTGATTTACTCGATATACCTGCTTTTGCACAATTGGAGAATGCTGCTAAATATGCTCTGAAGTATCAACTACTTAAGATCTTTTTGACTCAGAGGTTGGATGTATACCTGTATTTTCAAGCAGCAAATTCCACTATTGAAAAGCTATGGTAACTATATGTTCCATTACTTGAGCCTTGGCCTTCTAGATACATCAATTCCTATATAGTTCATTTTTACTGACTTTGCATTTTCTTATAATATAGGACTTGTCCATGAAGATTGCATTGCAAAGATATAGGCAGGTAAAATCTTTTATGTAATGTTTCAATTAGCTTTTTTCTGGGACATGCAAACAGAGACACAGTTATTTGATTAATTCAATTTCAGTACTGATCAAGTTGGTGCATTTATGACTGCAGATTGATTACAATAAGGTGGAGCCATGGGTTGTCAAGGTAATCACAACAAACTTAATTGATTGCAAGATTGATCAAATGTGAGGTACGCTGTGAGCTTCACCCATTGACATCTTTTATCCACTCCTTGTTTATGGGAGAACTTTAAGTAGTACTCCGTAATTTTTTAATATAGGTATCAGATGAAAGAAGCAAGCACCAAAGCAACATTCATCCTCTAGTCATTATGTTGTTTGGACAATCTTCTACATGATATATTCGATTGAATAAATTATGTTGTTTTATATTTTCATATTAAAATACTTTGATATATAGCATACTATGCTCCAAATATTATTGAATCCTATTTAATGTTACTCCGTATTTTCATTATGTTGCGACACTCTTGTGGTGAATCAACTCCAAGTTCTTCAAACATAATTAGCATGTAAATTCCCCAATTTTCCCTATTTTCATATGAAGAAATCGGGTTTATGCAATGAGTGACTCAAATCCTTGACCCAATTCTCATGGTAGCCAAGAATTCTCCAAAAACACGCCAATGAATGTGTATATCAAACATTAACAAGATATAAACACAAAACTTTCACAAACACATGAACTCTAGGTTAGAGTTCTTCCCCTTTTAGCAATAATCACAAATTAAGCATCAATATATATAATACAACCCTAACTCAAGTTTAAAAACTAACTACTCATGATTAAATAGCATAAAGAACACAAAAGCACAAGTAATAAACATAAATATTGCAAAAGAAAGAGATAAAATGTAGAACTTTTTTTTTTTTTTTTTTTTTTTGAGGAAGATAGGAGAACTTATGTATTAAAGATGGGAGAATAATTTTAAAATATTGAAATCCAAGCTTCAAATATGAGATTACAAGCTTCCAACATTGTTATAAAACCTAAATCTAAGCCTAATCTAACTTTAAAATATGAAAGGAATGAGTAGAAAATGGTTAGGGCTCAGCCATGGGCTAGAACCATGTAAAAATGACAAAAATTGCGTTTAAATAGTGAGCAGAGCATGGGTGGCACGGCCAGGGGCATGGCCGTGCCAAAAATGTAGCACACTGCCTCGGGTTAGCACGACCATATGCATGGTCGTGCCTACCTGCAAGCAGAATTCTTGTGCAGCTAGTTTAACTTCTAGGTTATTTTTCACTCCCAAAACATTTTCATTGCCCTTTTTGGTCTCCAACAAAGTTCTAGCTCTTCAAGTTGGTGTTAGGAACCTTGTATTAGGATTTTGATGATACCAATGTAATGTAGAAAGTAGACCCCTAACTATTTACTTTTTCAATTGCTACTTTCGTCCTAGACGAGAGTTGCCATAACTCTCTTGTAATTCGTGTTAAGCTAGACAAACACACAAAAATGAGTTATGTCTAGATGATAGGGTCTCCAAGACGAAAGAAGACACAAGGCATGATAAACAGCAACGAGAATTAATCAGGAGTTGTCAACTACCTCGAAAGGACAGATTTATTAAAGACGATTTTCTCCAAGCATTCTTTCTCTTCAACAACGAGAATAATGTTTTGTCTGTCTGATTTGACAACATCCTAGGAACATAAGGATCTCAACTTAAGGGGACACGATTACCAAGGAGCATTAAATGAAGATGTACCATCTCCTGGAGCTAAAGGACAAAACCCTAATGCTCTCCATACCTTCAACGGCTACATAGTACAACCTCATTAATGGAGCATTTAATGCATGAAGCTCCCCAGTCCTTATCCACTGGATAAAAGGTTCGAAAATTTCATCTCCCTCCAACGGATGAATTTTCATCACCTATATAAACCCACCTTCATCAACTAAGAAGGTGCTGGTTCAACTTTCACTCGATCTATTTACTTGCAAAAGCTCTTAAACGCTCTCAGTTCTCTCAAGCTTTTGTGAACCAGTGTTAAGGTGATAAGATATTTGAAGAAGTTCATTGATCATCTTCTAACACCTTAAGGAAGTCTTGCCATTTGCACGAAGAAATCATCTCATACAATCAAGACTTCATCAAGTTGGAGAAATCAGAAATCATTTTCTACCAACCTCAACTCTGAAGAAGAAGTTGATAGAGGCAGAGTAAACTCGACGAGTTGAAAAACCTACGAAGGCTGTCCGACTTAGTGATCAAGGAAGTCTTTGTGTAATTGTACTAACGAGTGATAGTGCAATCCTTCCATAAGTTGTGGAAGAAGAGTGGAGTAGGCAACGTTAGCCGAACCACTATAAAAACTCTTGTCTCGTTATCTCTTTACTTACGCATTTCATTTCTGCATCATATTATCCTTATCATCATTACCGAAAGTTCTCTTTTAAACGTAAACTCGTGCAAAGCAAATAATCGAATCTGACATATCCGCTGCGCCAAAACACCGAAAGGTGTTTTTAGGGTAAAAACACGAAAGAGTCTATTCACCCCCCCCCCCCCCCCCCCCCCATCTAGACTCTCACTACACTCTATCGGGACCAACAAGTGGTATCAGAGCTAAATACCTTGAACGGTAAAGGCTTTGCTTTTACTGCCTGGTAGATCCCCTATCAAAATTCTAAAAAACTGCATATTTTTCAGCTCTGCACGAATTTTTGTAAAATGGAAAAGGATCATACTAATCGCTCTAAGCAGCTTGTTTTTAGTCTTGCTAAATTTGATGACTGGAAGATAAGAATGCAGGCACTCCTCTGCTCCATACATGACGAAATGTGGGACGTCATAACAATTGGACCAATTACAGTTATGATGGCAAATACACAAGCGGCAGTTCAAGGAGCTGGTGCTGAGCAAATGATACCGAAGCCAAAAGATTCATATACCTCGGAAGAAAGGACAAGAGCAAACCTAGATAACGTAGCAAGAAATATCCTCTACAACTCCCTTGATGACTCCTTGTTCCCAAGAGTCCGAAAGTGAAAGAATGCCATGGAAATATGGAATGTCTTGATGGAACTAGGAGAAGGGGATGAGCAGGAGAAAGACAACAAGTTGACTGTAGCCATGAAGAAGTTTGAAGATTTCAAGATGCTTCCAAATGAGACAATCATGGACATGGAGCTGAGATTCACCAGACTCATGGGAGATCTGACTGATCTCGGGAAGGAATTGACCGAGAAAGAAAGGAATCTAAAAATTCTTCGTGGCCTGCCAAAATCTTGGGAAATGAAGGTCATTGCAATGAGGGACAATCGAGACATGAAAACAACGAGCACGGCCAAGATCTTTAGTGATCTCAAAGCATATGAGTTCGAACATGAACCGAAAGATGCCGAAGAATCAGAAACGAGAAATATCGCTCTAATGGCCAACCAATCAGCATCAACATCCAACAGGTCGAAATCTAACTCTTGTGATTTTTTATCTGATGAACAATATGCACTCTTTGGGAAAATGAAAAGGTTCATGAGGAAGAACAACTTTCAAGACTCTCATCGTTCGGGTCACCGAAAGCAACACGAAAATTCTCCTCAAACCTCAAAGGCTGAAACCACAGACTCGCAACTGTTGTGCTACAATTGTCGTAAACCAGGACATTTTAAGGCCAATTGTCCTCATCCAATAGTAAGCAAGCATCAAGATAGCAACACTTCCAAAAGCCCATCCAAGGAGACTAGAGAAAGATACAAAAGAAATGACAAGCCAAAATCTTCAGGCTCCAGAAACGAGAGAAGAAGAAAGGCAATGGTGGTGAACGAAACCTCTGACACAGTTGTGAAGCAAAGTAGCTCCTCAAGCTCGAGTTCAGACGATGAAAGTTCTGAAGAAGAAAAAGGACTCCTATGCCTTTTCAGTCAGGAATCAGAAGATCTATGCCTTACGGCTGACGAAGATGAGGTAAACTCTCATTCATCTTCCTGTTATTTAGCTGAGTCAAGTTCTGTAGGGAGTCAAACCTCCAATGAATCAGTTACCGAAATGATGAGGAGGTTCAAAGTGATAAATAGCACCTACTCCAAACTTAAGGAGGAGAACTCTCGGCTCACGATTAGCTACAATGCGCTAAGGCAAGTTCGAATTGAGAACATTAAGCTAGCCATTGCTAAGGAGCAACTTGAGAAAAATGTTCTCACTCTGAAGGAGCAGTGCACAGTAAGAGAAAGGAGAGAACAAGAACTGCTTGAAGTCTTGGACAAATTCAATAATTCATCCAATCTAATGGATCGAATGATAAATGACTCCAGACTGCCCGGGGAAAGAACGGGAATTGGTTTTAACCCCAGCTCCGCCTCACAAACCTGCTTGAACAAATCCACGAATGCATATTCACACGAAGGCTTTCAAGCTGCATTTGTTCAAGGACCAACCCAGGTGTCTGAGCCAGTGACGAAAGTTAACAACGATGCCATACCACAATCAACAAGCTTACCGAAAGGAAAGGCTGTACAACGAATTGTGGATCCTCGAAATGAAAATTCTTACAAAGGCAATCCTAGACAAAGATATGTCAAAAGGAATGGACCAAATGGAAATAGACAGAATCTACACCATAAGAAAGGTCAGCCTGCTAAGAATATTCAATCAAGGAAAATGCTGAATGTTGACCAGAGGCAATATCGTCCTAAAACAATACAAGAGAATCCTGATCAAGGAAACCCAAAAATTGGACGAATCAGACAACCCGAAAGATCCTTCATAAGATCTGGGTATGGCAATGGATGGACTGGGCCATCAGAAGAAGATTGGTATGATTACCCAGAACCTCTGTCTAAAGTAGAATTACAAAGGATTCATCTGCGTAAACAAACCGATCATCTCAAGTATTATGAAAATCCTCCTCAGGAATACCTTTGGAAAAGATATAATGCTAAAGTCTTTGCCAGCATACATTATGATTATCGCACATCTAATGGGTATAGAGGACCAAAGATGAGTCGTGGACACTCTATGTTGATGTGGGTTCCAAAGTTGACAGCTAACCCTCAAGGACCCAAAATTCAAGGGGTACCTAAAAATATATAATCTTTGTTGCAGGAAAAACAAGTCATATGGTATGTTGATAGTGGGTGCTCAAGACATATGACTGGTGATAAAACAATGCTGAGCAACTTCATAGAAGTAGATGGACCTAAAGTCATCTTTGGAGGAGAAAACACTGGCAGAACTCGTGGAAAAGGGGATATTATCAAAAAGGGAATAACAATACAAGATGTATCTTATGTTGAAGGATTGAAGTTCAATCTTCTAAGCACGAGTCAATTTTGTGACAAAGGATATAAAGTTGAATTTTCCAAGGATGAGTGTAAAATCGTTAACACGAAGGATGGCGAGGCAGCTTTAACTGGCCAACGAAAGAAGAATATGTACGTAATATCGTTGACTTCTTCTAACGCTAACGTTTGTTTTGTGGCCAAAAGTAATGCAGATCTTAATCAAGAATGGCACAATAAACTCAGTCATCTCAACCTAAAGACAATCAGCAAACTCGCCAAAAGAAATCTTGTAAGAGGATTGCCCGAAGCATCATACACGAAAGATAAAATATGCGAGGCATGTCAAAAGGGAAAACAATTCAAGTCATCCTTTAAATCGAAAGATGTGGAGGCAAACTCTCGATCTCTAAGTCTTCTACATATGGATCTCTTTGGACCAGTTGACCCAGCAAGTTTGAGTGGAAGAAAGTATACTCTCGTTATTGTTGATGATTATACGAGATATACTTGGGTGATTTTCTTGAAAAAGAAGAATGAAACAGAAACAATTCTTCCTAATCTCTTAAGACAACTCCAAACAGAAAAGGAGGTCAAAATCATTCGGATAAGATCAGACCAGGGAACTGAATTTGTTAATAAAGTCATAAAAGAGTTCTGTGCGCAAAATGGAATCTTTCATCAACTTTCGGCAGCACGAACTCCTCAGCAAAACGGGGTAGCCGAAAGGAGAAACAGAACCTTGAAAGAAGCTGCACAGACAATGATTTCATATTCAGGCTTACCAAAAAGATTTTGGGCCGAAGCTATAAATACGGCATGCTACACACAGAATAGATCCCTGATCTACAAATCTTACAACAAAACGCCATATGAGATATGGAAAGGTAAAACACCTAGTATTGGTTATTTTCATGTCTTTGGATGCAGGTGTTTCATACACAACAACGGAAAGAATCATTTGAGGGCCTTTGACGAAAGAGCTGATGAAAGACTGTTCATGGGATATTCCTCTGTAAGCAAAGCATTTAGAGTTCTAAATAAACGAACAATGGTAATTGAGGAATCCATTCACGTTAAATTTGATGAACAATCCGAGAAAAACCCATCCGACATCAAAACGCCAAGTAATTCGGGTCAAAACCCTCGGCAACATGTTGATGAAGAAATTTCAGACGAAGAAGATATACTATCGTCCTACACAAAATATCAGCTAAAAGTATCTGAACCCGAACCTACAACTCAAGAAAAGGTCACAACTCAACAAAACAATCTTGTCAGCACCACAACATCTGAACCAATGATCTATATTGATCTACCATATATTCCTGAAATGGATGTTCAAAATCAACAGAATACACTCGAACCTGATCTTAGGTGGTTAAGAGATCACCCACCTGATCAAGTAATAGGAAATGTCCAAGAAGGTGTACGAACAAGAGCCTCCTTACACGAAAGCATGATGGCATGCTTCTTATCTCAAATGGAACCAAAATCCATAGAAGAAGCCCTAAGTGATCCTGACTGGGTAATAGCCATGCAAGAAGAGCTTCATCAGTTTGAACGTAATGAAGTATGGGAACTTGTGTCAAGACCAACTCATCAGAATGTCATAGGAACAAAATGGGTCTTCAGGAACAAAATGAGTGAAGATGGGCTCATTGTTAGGAACAAAGCTCGTCTTGTTGCTAAGGGGTATTGTCAAGAAGAAGGAATTGATTTTGATGAAACCTTCGCCCCCGTAGCTAGACTGGAAGCCATACGAATATTTCTGGCCTTTGCAGCTCATAAAAACTTCAGAGTTTATCAAATGAATGTCAAGAGTGCTTTCTTAAATGGACTTCTAGAAGATGAAGTATATGTTGAGCAACCACCTGGCTTTGCAATTGATAATGAGCATGAGAAGGTCTATCATCTCAAAAAGGCTCTCTATGGATTAAAACTGTAACACCCCAGATTTTCAGGACATTTAAAACTTATAAAATAAAGGTGAAATCTCATTAATTCCCAAAAACGTAACATAAAGAGTATGGGGTGCTATGCCACACCTGAGCTAGAGAACTCAGGTGCACAGGCTAACTACTAATATCCTTAATAAAGTAAATGCATAACACGGCACGCAGGCCGAAAGGGAAACTATCTACTTCTACGCTCCAAGATCTAGCGCGCTCCAGTGACTTATCCTTCTGTACCTGAAAGCCAAATATATCTGTTCACCGAGAGATGCTGGTAACCCACTCCAACGCGTTGAAATACAATACATACATATATATATATATATATATATATATATATATATATATATATATATATATATATACGAAAAGTCATTTCGAAGCATGAAGATATATCCTAAGAGACTCTAGCTTTCAAATCAGGGAACCGACTCGACAAATAGGGGTACACACAATCTACAGTCATAACCAAGTATATACGATTCTCGACATAGGGCACAGTTATAGATAAACACGACCAATAATCACAATTAAACATGTACAGTTTACTAGCAAGAATCCTATGGTCACGTTTTCATAACAGTCAGAACATCAAACCTTCTTATCTCATCATATAGCACACTTTGTTGGCGCCACAGGACCAATCGCATGCCCATACATGAGGGTCAGCGCATATAGCTCTGACACGGTCCCGCAGCACCCTGCCCCGTCTCACAATACGGAGGGGTCGATCGCAACCGACCGATGAACCGCAGCTCTATATAATATTTATATACCTGGCCAGTCTTTACCAGCCTGGTTAACAGTTGGGATGGTTCTCAACCCATTCAACTGCCCGTATAGTGGACCTTTGTCCTATATAATATTTATATACCTGACCGGTCTCTACCAGCCTGGTTAACAGTTGGGATGGTTCTTAACCCATTCAACTGCCCGTATAGTGGACCTTTGTCCTATATAATATTTATATACCTGACCGGTCTCTACCGGCCTGGTTAACAGCCGGTATGGTTCTCAGCCCATCCGACTGCCCGTATAGCCCGATTGATCTCAACCACATCGGGGTAACATGCACACATAACACATAGCAAGCACACACAACCCACATTAACACATTGGGAAGGGGGAGAAAACGTATATCAAAACCTATGCGTGATCCTTCACATACTAAGAATAATCCTAAGGGGTTCATACTTCCTTCACCTAGGTCAACGGGATACCAATTCAACTAACATGCAATATATAAGACTCATACAACCTACGAACGGTACCTGAAATACCAAACTAGACATAGGCATGAAAGACGGAGTCCGTTGGGACACCACGGGGGTCGGGGGACATAAAACGGGGAAGCCAAAATCCCAAGGTGGGGTACAAACCAGCGGGTAGCCGGTGGGTGAGGGGTCACCCGCCGGCGGCACTGTTGCGGCCAGCGGGTGCCCGGCGGGCAGCTGCCTGCCCGCCGGCTGCCCGCTGCCGGCGAGGCCTCCTTTGGCCGTGGGTAGGTGGCGGTTCCCCTACCCCCACCTACCCCCCACTGACTCTTTTTCACCAAAAACGCCCCGGGAACCTTTGTGGAACCCGAAACCATGCTTAGACACTTTCAAACGCAATTGATAACACATGTAGACGATTAACGGATCAAAATCAAGAAACGTACGGCACATAACCTATCATGCTTTTCTAAATATAATCAACACCCGATCATGCGAATTCCCACCCAATACACCAAGAATAATACCATACGAATTCCACGATATAACCTAGGGTTCTAATTATTTTTAAATCAACAAGAACACAATTCATCTTCTAAAATCAAGATTCGGTAGGAATATCATATAATATCAAGAACATCACGTAATCATTAAGAACATCAAGAACACTACATAATCATCAAGAACGTCATATAATCATCAAGAGCACCATAATTATTGAGAACCTCTCATCATCAAGATCACCCATGGAATCATCCCACCAATAATAATATCACAAATCATCAATGCACAATAATATGGGGAAATCCTAAGAGGGGAATCATAGATATGAAAATAGGTTTTGTTGAGACATGGGTTACCTCTTAGCCTTAATTAATTCCTTGGCTATGAAGGGTCTTTCTTTAAGCTTTCTTGCTTTCTTGATTTCTTCTAAGGGAATTCTTGGAACTCTTTGGGTGGTGAGAAATTATTGTGGTGGGGGTTCTAGGTGTCTCCTTATGTTCCATATTTATATATCTAAGAGTCTTACTTAGGGTCTAATTATATAGGTTTGCTAACTCTATTCCTTTTAGGACTAAGGATTGGGTTTAGGGATAAGGGCTCATGGACTATGGTGGGCCTTTCCTAATTAATTATTGTGATTTAATTCTTTCTTTTGGGTAATTGGTTAAGTGATTAATTGGTTTTAGGGATCGTAACACGGGGTGTTACACTCTCCCCCCCTTATAAGGGGCTTCGTCCCCGAAGCCCGGTGTGTTAACCCATCCTTTCACCCCTAGGCATCCTGCATCTTGGCCTCCCGGTTAGGAACGTGGCCCCGCGTTTTGCCTTAGCTGGGGTAGGCTAGGCTTCTGGTGGTGTCGTGATAGGAAAGTTTTGGGTCTACCTTGGTCTCCTGCTCCTGAGCTGGACGCCCCGCGAGTGCCCAAGGTGGCCTCGATCGCTGCCACCCTCTGATCTAGTGCGCGCGTCGTACGGATCAAGGACGAGAGCCCTTCCTCCATGATTTGGTTTTGTCGGTTAAGCTGCGCGAGTATGCGCTCATTGATCGAGCCCTCGTTTTGCTCCCTTGGGTTCCCTCTTGATCGTGGGTGCAACG